GTGCCTATTTTTTCTCTCTCTTCTTTTCTCTCTTCTTTCTCCCTCTTTTCTCTCTTCTTTTCTTTCTTCTCTTCTCTCTTCTTCTCTTTCTCTTCTTCTCTCTTCTCTTCTCCTTCTCTTATCTTCTCCTTCTCTCCTCACTTCTCTTTTCTTCTCCTCTTCTCTCCTTCTATTCGTCTTGTCTCCCTCTTGGAAAGTTTAGAGAGAGCCAGGCTAACCTTCACCCTCTTTTTCTCATTCTTTTTATTATCTCTTTACTTTCTTCTCTCTTCTCCTTTCTCTCTTATTTCATTCTTGTCAATTCTTCCTTTTGGAAGGTTTGGCGAGAGCCAAACTAACCTTCACCCTTTTTCTCATTCCTTTTCTTCTTTCTCTCGCTAAAGAGCTAGGTGAAAGTCAAACTGGCCTTCATTTCCCTTTGCCCTCTCTACAAAAATATTTTCTTTCTTTACCTTTGAAGAGCTAGGTGAAAGCCAAACTAGCATTCGTTCCTCTTTTCTCTCTTTTCCAAAATATATTTTACCTCTAAAGAGCTAGGTAAAAGCCAAACTAGCATTCGTTTCTCTTTTCTCTCTCTTTTAAAATATTTTTCTTTCTTTATCTCTGAAGAGCTGAGTGAAAGCCAAACGACCCTTCATCTCTCTTTTCTCTCTCTACTTTCTCTTCTATATCTTTGAAGGATTGGGTTAAAGCCAAACCAATCTTCATCTCTTTTTCTCTCTCTATCCCCTTCTCTTTCTTTTTCTTCTCTCTAAAAGTCTATTCTCTCTAATGTCTTTTCTCCATCTAACCCATTTTCCCTTTCTCTTTACTGTAAAATATGCACTAAGAGTCCCTAGTCAAGGCGGCCCGTGAAGCTGTCAAATTGACACGAGCTCTATTATGTTATTTTTTTTCCATTTTACTTTGAGTACACACGTACGTGTGCACTCACCCTATGACAAGGTGGGGTCCCCTGACCCACTTGTCTTTACTTTTAATGTGTGTATGTGTGTTCACATGAAAGACAAAACAGGTCAAGGGAGGCGATTCCGAACTGGCCTCAAGTCAGGGGGCATTCCAGGTGATCTAAGAGGACGCCCACGCGAGCATCCTGAGCGTGTCACGAACCCACATGAGATACTCACGATCCAAATTCCTCTCTCATCGATTGGTATTCCTGCCCACGTCCCCTTCACGGTTCTCGAGACTCAACCTACTCTTCTTTACACTCAGAGTCTATCTATGAAGCTAGAAAGTGGTACTCAAAAGTTACATTGGCTTTTGGCTTTGCAAATGCTCTGCCTGAAAAGCTTAGGGGCGAAAAGAAAAGTATAAATTTAGATAAGAATGGGATTGATATTCTTGAGTGGAAGCATGGTTACGTTGGTAAAAGTTCACCCAATTATTGTAGGATAAGCCGCTCTATTAAGAACTTGACCACTAAATTGGTAGCTCGATGGATATGGTACGTATCCTCTGTATATGTTCGTACCTAATTTAAGGGTATCGATGCAACTTATAATACCAATTAAATACTTTCAATTACTTATTACGCTCCTTTTGATTTCTCAGGATACATGCCTCGATTGTTGAAGCTTGGAATTGAAACCTCAACCCCTATATGCAAAGCCGCTAAAATACGAGTCAAGAACGCCCCGGGTTCACCAGTGGCAGTGGAGTGAATGTGACTCTCATGTCATTTAGAAGATATGGACATGATTCATTGAAGCTGAAAATGTATATAAATCAACTCATCATGAACACATGAAAAATGATATTCCATCAAGCTCCTGATGTTGTACTTCATATATTTCGCTTGAGAATGGGACTTCTAACTCTGTAGAAAATATGAAATAGTGAATTTTGTTTATGCATAAGAAGCTACTCTAGCATAATAGCCTCTCCTATTGTAAAAATAGGTTGGGAATGTACATTACGAGAAGATTGATTTTTAGCAAAAAATCACAATATTCGAGGACTTTATCTCTTGTTTTGGTGCCCTCCCTTTGTGTATGTGGCGGATGAATGTCGTTAGAGATATCCTCACCTGTCGTACGAAACCATATTGGAATTTGGGCCAAAAAGACATTTTACTGTTCTCAATAATGATCGTTAATATCAATTGATTTTTTATCAAAGACAAATATGAGTGCTACATCTCACAAAAAATAAATGATTTCAGCATAATATTCTACCTATTTGTCATAAAAACTGTAAAAGCCTACTATAGCTCTGGATTTTAATAATACACAACATTTAATTGTTTAGGAGGGATAAAGCCATTTTTTCTTTGGGTGCAGTTTGCATACGAATGCATCCGGAGCAGTAGAGGTAAGGTATGCCTTTAAATTTTATCATGGTGTATAATTTTGATGTAATGTTTTTTGGATTATCTCAAAATCTATTTTTATATCTAATTATAAAATTTTAAATTTAAAAAATGGTTAAAATCAAATAGATCTATAAACATATGAAAACATTGAAAATGGACGGTATAGATAATATATTGTAAAATGCACTATTTTTGAGACTTAAATTTTTTTTATTTTTTAAGGGCATACATCTCGATGTCAAGATGATCAATCAAAAGGTTTTTCAACATTAAAACTACCTTTTTCAAGGGATTTTTGAGTTGCATCCGTAGCTCTACATTATAAGGTTGCAACCTTATATAAACTTTTTCCTGTTTCTAAATCGCTTCTTCAAATTTTATGCAATAAAAGCTCTAGCAATGTATAATTTGTAACCAAAAAGAAGAAATAAGAAATGAAGCACTGCAAACAAAAACAAATGAAGGAAATACACATGTTGCCCCACTTGCACGTTCATTAAATAAACTATACATTTCTTGCATTTCTGATCAATTAATGCAAGATTACAAGTCAGATCATGCCATTTGAACTCTCCCGCACTTTCTCTAACAATCAACATGTCAATAGAGTACCAATCATATATCTTTCACATTGAAAACAAAGCTGAAAATCATTCCCGCTCGTCTTTACATGTAAACTGGAGTTTTCTTGGATGACTAGAGACACTAAAATATACCATCACATACCCATCAAGCTTGTGAGGTCAGCCGAAACCTGCTTCAATAAAATTCTTATCTTTATATTGGCCTCAACATTAGGTCACATATTAGTTTCCCTTACACTCCTCAAAATGTCCCCAAAGGAAATATTATTAGTCCTTGCACACAACAAGATTTCTGAAGCAATGTCATTGCACCAGCCCCTAAAAATCTTGAAGCTTTGGTAAGCTATTATGCAGCGCTAAGGCTGTCACTTTGTAATACAGCCCTTCATCTACTAGACATGCACATATAACAATCATTAATGGACAAAATCTCCCATGTTTCCACCACAAAAACATATTACGTAGCATAGATATAGGTTGTATTTCTAGGACTGTACAGATCAAGAGACTTACAAATAATGCTTACATAATCGAATCTTTAGGTCACACATGCATACCAAGCTTGCATACTAATCAGAGTTTCCATGTTTGAGAGTTGCACATGCCCTTCATGCATCATCACAGAAAAAACACATGTCAGCAGGCATCGACTCCAAAACCTGCATGCTAATCCGAGTAAAAACCAATAACTCATTAAATCCATCCAACAGAACAGCCTATGCTAGCAATTTGTAATCAACAAAATGATTTCCTTACCTTTTTTGCTATATATGATGTCTTGTAATAATAGTTGAGCAAGGCCCTATAGCCACGGCAAGTATAATTTTCATGCATCAAGGAGGTATACGACTCCCTTATATCAAGAAAGTGCACCCCTTATCAAAGCTCAAAAGTGGAATGCATTCCATGGATCAATACATATATCAAAAAACTGCATGGCTCCATACAAAACCTTCTTGCACAGTAATTGATCACTTGATCGTGGACCCATGCCTCAAAATTTGGCACATGCCTCTAAGGTATAAAAAAAATCCCTTCCTGCATTATGAATAGTGAAAAAGTTTGATACACATCTAATGCATAAGAGAAACTCTAAAAAATGATGAGATACAAATTAACACTAACTTTTCCACGTTCTCACCTTTAGTACCAATGTTGACCTTCTTGTTGTAAGCTTAAATCTATGCAACTATCCATATGTGAAGATGCAACCTACATATAGCCAGCACAGTTTATTTTAAAATGTAGGAAACAACATAAAAGTCATGTTGAACAATTCAACAATAGAATATAGAAAAGTAGTTTATACTTGAGATGGCTCAATGACAACATCCACATTTATAGGAGCACCCATAACATTATCAGAACTAGCGCTGAGAGGTAACATGCATTTACTAATTTTTATGAGCTGACATAGATAACCTAACAGGAAAAGAAAAAATTCACAAGAAAAAATTTCAAAAGCAATGTTTCATGTTACCTTTCAGCCCCGTGATATAACCAAGATCGTTTGTCATGGCCATACTGTTTGCAATTTGCACATTTTTGTTTTTCTTATTTGTTGCTTCTCCAAAGCAGGTTTTATTCTTTTTATTGGGGGAAAACCTTTTTTGGCAAAGGATTACGCAAAGTGGTCTATATCACAATATTACTCAGTTCACTCATATTTTGGGCACCACATTGTGTAGTTGTACTAACATCTTTTGTTGTGGCCTTCACGTCTTCCAAAAGCTTATCAATGCCGCACATTGTGAAGTGATAGCACTCTACAGTTGTTGCCCCTTCATCACATAGTTGAAGGACACGTCGGCCAAGATCACGGTATCGCAACAATTCAGACTCTTGAGGATTACCTTGTGCTTGGCTCGCATTCTCCCCAAAATCGAAGCCTCTTGTAGCATTTCTTGTCCACCACTTCAAAATGTAATGAGGTGGGAGAAGCAAGATATTTTTCATGCATAAAACCCTCAAGACATGCCTAAAAAGAACTCCTCCAAACTCAAATAATTTACAAGTACAACTAGCAATCACTTTAAAATTATTGAATAAGACAATATATGCTCGTTTCTCTAGCCGAACTCTTGCCATCCTAAATGTCATAACACTACCAGCATCCTCAATTATCTCTGCAATATAACATTCGCTTTCAACTAATTCTTCTATAAATATCAGGAACATTTTTCAAGAAAAAATTTCTGAAAAATTGGAATTCTATAAGTAGTCTCACCTTCATTATTGGTGTTGTGTTGATCGTTTGTATATCATGTTTACGTTCCTTTTCATAGCGAAGGTCAATTGCATTTCCAACCTGAGTGACAAATACTTGTAGGCTACTACGAACATCAACATAACCATCCAAAAATATGTTTATACTTTCACTTCGTTGGGTAGATGACATATTTGCAAAACATGTGCTTTTTAAAAATATGTTTATACTTTCACTTTGTTGGGCAGTTGACATATTTGCAAAAAAAAATGTGCTTTTGTAAGTATGCCTTGACCCAATGTTCACAATTTTTTAATAAGAATAGAAGCCATATATTTATCTATGAAAGATCACCAACACTCTTCAAACTCATCCACATCCTCTAGCTCACTGCACTTAAAGAACTCACCATGAAATTCAGGGTATTTGCAATCAACATCACTCAACTTTTCAGTATATTTCTTTATGATAAACCACGTGCTAAATCGATGCCGAGTTATGTGGAAATGCTTTTGCCACAACTGCTCGAATTGCTTGATCCTGGTCTGTGATTATTGAGATCCTGATCTGTGATTATTGAGATGGGAGGGCTCTTATTCATCACTTCAAGCCAATTATTAAATAACAATAAGAAAGAGCATTCAGTTTCATCAGCCCAAAGCGCACATCCAAATAAATTGGACTCTTGATAATGGTTAACTCCCACAAATTGAGCACATCTCATGCCATAGCGATTCGTTTAATATGTTGTGTCAAAGGTAACAACATCACCAAATGCACAATAAGATATTATTGCCCGAGGATGCACCCATAGAAAATGCTTCAAGCCATAGTCCTCATTCATTTCTATTGCACAATAGAATAATGGATTCTGTTGTTTCTATTTCATGATATAATTCAGCACACATTGAGCATCACTTTTATCAATATGTCTTCAAGTGCTTTGGATATAATTTTGACAATCCCTCAAAGTAATACCAAGGTTGTATAATCCCCCGGCCTGTGCTCTCAAAACCGACATAACATTTGAGGGTCGTATTCTTGCTTCAACAAGACATGCCTGTGAGATCGAATCAATGCGACTTTTCTCGGCGACAACATCGCATGATTATGGTCCTCAACAAATTTTCTAATGATCCACGGCCCTGATATCACTTTGTTTGTATATGTCCTTGCCATTGCAACCCATCCTCGTAATTGGGTGTGGTCTCTCACTACTTTCGTATTTTTTTGCATGATAACCTTGCATGGAGCATACAAAGTATTGACTAATACACTCATCATTCCTGGAAGTACGTTTACCACAGCAACGGATGCCAAAACCCCTTTGTCGTACATAATCAGTATAAAAGATCCTCACTGATAATTCGGACTCAAACAACATGTCCTCTTGTGATTAAGTATTCAAAGGACCTTCGTCGTCAATTGCTAGGATTGCCAAATTATCTTCCATTCCAGTACTTATGCATTCATTTTGCTCATAATCAGTTAAAATAGTTCCTAAATCACCTATCATATCATCATCCATTCTATATTGATTGCTTTTTGAGGCTTCATTTGCTCTGTAAGGAAAAGTAAGGAGCAACGTGGCAACCTTCCATGCTAATCATTATTGTTATGAAATAACTTACATTGAGGAGGAAAATGACCCAACATTGCATCCATTATATAATAAAATCATTGTAACGAATCAACATATCAAAAAACACGACAATGTTACTATTCACATGATGGACTATCACCATAGGGCAAATAATATCAAAAAACATATTTCATGGTGCATGTAGATCTCTAGGAGCCAGTGAAGAAAGTAAAGAATTAGATAAAAATAAAAATAAAAATTTTCATTAGCAAAAACAAACAAAAAATGGATCCCTAAGACCTGAGTTTCATAGAGAAGACATCAAACTCTTCACGTTCGTTTTTTGGGTTTTAGAAATTATTAAAAGATGGATCCCTAAACTAGTATGAATTGGAGTTACTTTTGAGAGTTGACATGAAACTTGAGGAAACTAGGTTTGTGTGAGAATCGAAGTTGGGTCCTTTAGAAGTCATAACTTGATCTTGGTGGTCTAAATCATCCATACCCAGAGATTTCCATTACAAATTATACTAAGCATGCCTCACTCTTTAAATGCTTTATGGATCAATTCAAAGGGCAGGTATCACCGAAAATATCACCATTCATTCATAATGTATAACATTGATCAACTAAGCATACTCCTTGAAGTGAACGTAAACACAAATACCATCCTAGTCGAGTAATTCAATCCCTGCAAAATTGAGAACCAGAACACATTTTACACCCCCCAGGTAATTCACATCAAGCCAACCTACAAATTTAACAGAGTTATGAAGATGGAGTCAGTCAAATTGAGCTCCATTTCAAATGTAAAAACAGTTCTAAATCCAACACAAGATCAATATTTTAGGATGGTTACTTCATGGCCCTTTGAGAAGATACTCTTCCTATTCAGCATCTTCACCGTATGTGTCAACGTAAAGCTCATGAAGGGTATCCATTAAATATGCCAATGAAACAATAGAAAACAAGAGATTGATTCAAGGCACAAGCATAAGATATCACCAATCATAATAATCCTATTACACTCTTCCTATTGAGCATCTTCACCATGTGTATTGATGTAAAGCTCAAGAAGGGTGTCCACTAAACATGCCCAAGGAACAGTAGAATACAAGAGATTGATTCAAGGTACAAGACTAAGATATCAATAATCCATAATCATAACAACATAGTAGCTGCAGCTTTAAAGAAAAATATCACAATTAAAGGGGATCAAAATCATCATTCGAAGAAGCAACTGGAACTCAATAGAACATGTAGAAAAAGCTGCGTGGTGAGATAAAAGTTGCGAAAAACTAACATAATGCAACAAAAGAACCATAATGTAGAGATGATGGGAGCAGAATAGAGCTCTCAACCCTCGGAATGATGAAGATAGCTTCTTGTCTTTTACACACTCCCTCTCGCTTTAGAGGATTGAAGAAGCCAGTTGAGCTCTCAACTCTGTTAGCGATACAAGATCCTTCAAAAGTAGAAGCTCTTTGAGAAAAACATTGTCTCTCTCCCATTGTGGAGCGACAGGTTAGAAAGAGAAACACAAATATAAGAGTTAGGCTTCAAGGGTTGAGTACATAGGTCGGGATAGAGAGAGGGGGGAGAGAGAGAGAGAGAGAGAGAGAGAGAGAGAGAGGAGGAGAGAAAGAAGGTAGGTAGTAGTGGTGGTAGTAGTACGTACGGTACGGTAGTAGTAGAGAAGAAACGAAACACTAGTAGGTAACGGAAGGTAAGGGTAGTAACGTACCTA